TGAGGTCTGAAAGCTCCCTTCTGAAGATCTGAAATAAGAAGAGCTTTGAGGCTCCTGCACCTTATGGGACCCCTGGTAGTGGATCAGTATTTATCCCTGGCTTAAGAAAGGACTTTGGGAGACCATCCTACATGGTAGGATGCTCTCTCAGCCTGGACACATGGGGGAGGGTCTAGGCCCTGCCCGGGATGATATGACAGACTTTGGGAAACCCCCATGGAGGGCCTTACCCTCCCTGGGGAGCAGAGGAGGGATGAGGTAAGAGGTTGTGGGGAAGGGGAGGGAGAGGGAGAAGAGATTGCCATGTTTCTTGGGGGGAAAAGATCAGAGAGCTCCTTAGTCAACAATGTACTGAAGTTTCTAGGTTGGGGGAGGGGTGGAGAAACTAGCTCATTTAGCTCACTTTGTGGCTGAGCCTATGTGGGGACGTCCCACAAGAGCACAGAATATCAGGTCTAATTAACAATGCTAGAAGTGTTACAGGCTAGACCATTGACACACAAGAGTCAGTTGCCTTCCTGTGTGCTGACAGGAAAAAAAATCTGAAAATAAAATTAAGAAACCATTTTCATTTATGGTTTCATTTCAATAACATCAATCAGAAAAATACCCAAGAATAAAATTAGCCAAGGAAATGAAAAAGCTTTTTGCTGGCAACTGTGGAATTACACTGAAATTAACAAAAGACAATCTCAATAAATAGAACTATAAATTGAGTTCCTGAACTGGAAACCCAAATATTGTCAGGACAAAAATCTTCAAATTAATCCACACTCTGATTCAATCAGGACCAAATTTCCAATTCCTACATTTTTCCCCCTTGGAAATACTACACTGTCCTAAGGATAGGAAATAGAATAAGTCTGAAGATTTGGAAAGAAACCATTTTATTTACAGCCAATTAATTATGATGTTGTCAAGATACCCCAGTGGAGACTGTAAGGTCTTTCCAACAAATGGTTTGAGACAACAAGAGTCCTTGTGTGAAAACTAAAGTTGGAGCCTTTGGTCTCACCATATATACCAATAAAATAAACTACAGATAGAAGACTTAAGCAGTAGGGCAAAACTCTAACGCTGTGTATGTGTGCCAGTTCTCACCACTGCAGCAGAATTGTTGGAATTGCTGACAGGGAGACTTAAGGGGGGAAGGCTGGTGTTGGCTGATGCTTTCAGGGAATGCAGTTTGTCATGGTGGGGCAGCATGGTGTTGCTGCATAGCATTTGGTACCAGAGGTTAAGCTATCATTTGTTCACAGCTTGGTCTATCAGGAAGCGTAGAGAACTGATAGTGACTCACTTCTTTTAGTGCACAGTCCCAAAGGTCCCACAGCAACCCCAAGTGGCATCACTAACCAGAGACCAAATGTTCCATGAGCCTATGAGATGCAGTTCCTGTTCAAACTGTAACAGGATGAGTCCATTTATGTAACATGTTCAAAAAGGGCAAGTCCATAGAGCCAGAGGGGGCTTAGTTACGGCCTCTGGCTGGACCCATAGAGGCTGGGGTGATTGCCAATGAGTACCAAGTGTCTTTCTGGACAGTGAGCATGCTCCGGATTAGATAGGGGTGAGTTTTGTGCACTTTTGAAACTATCTTAAAAACCACACACTTTTGTTTTAAAAGATAGTAATATTGATTGGAGTGGTGGCCATATCTTTAATCCCAGAACTCAGCAGACAGAGGCAGGTGGATCTCTGTGGGTTAGAGGCCAGCCTAGTCTACATAATGAGCTTCAGGCCAGTCAGGGTTACAGAGTGAGACTACATAAAAAATAAATAAAAACAAAAAGAAATAGCAAAAGTTAAATCTTATAGGATGGGAATCTTGTTGGAGTTATAACAAGAACCAATTTGTAGGTGTTGAGAAAAACACTCAGGGAAACCCCTTCCAGAAGCACTTCGGAAAAGAATCTCAGTGAGATCTGAAACTGACCCGAACTGAACACTAGAGAGAAATCTTCAGAACACTGACCTCTGGACCACTTGTCCCTTCAACATTTTTGTTTCTTTGTTTGGGCTTTCACTCTATAGTAAAGCAAACTTACATTACATGTACTGTAAAAAACAGAAAAGTCAAAATAGACCAAACAAACTGTGCAGTGTCCTTGTCTACAGATTTCTCTGATGACAGGAGGGAAAGTGGTCGGTAAACTACAGACCTCTGTCCATGTGCAGACATGATCGCCAAAAATTTCTGCCTGAAAGTTCAAGTTGGTAAAAAGAACCCATCTGTCATAGGTTGAGCAGGTTCAGGGTGAAGGCTGGGGGGACATGGGAGTCATGTTTAAATACATTTATAACAGTGTCTTTGTCTCTGGTGCACTATTGGGGAAGGATTTAGAAGTTGAAAACTGAAGGAAGGAAAAGACAAAGAAACAAAAAGCCAAGGAACGGTCCTGGGTGTTAATATAAGGGTCTATTTCAGCATTTACTTCTGGATAAATCTTTGTAGTGTATAGAGCTATAGAGATGAATTTTCTAATTAATGCGATTTTGATTAGCTGGCATTTCCTCGGAATTATTTGTCTTTCAGCTTTCAGGACACCTGCCACATAATTACAAAGAGAATGAGAGTCATGCCTCTACTTGAGCTTGGCAGAGGGACTCAGAAGTATCAGGAACAGAATCCCCAAAGACCACCCTGGGTCACTGCCTTGATAACAAGCTTGTGTTTGTCTTTCTAGGTGGCCTTGGGGAAGTTCTGAAACCAAGACTCCTGTGAATTACTATCCTGTGGTTTCGAGACAGATGTAGTGAGGGTGTCAGGGTGACCGCACGGACAGTGCCTCTCAATGTGAAGAACTGAAATGTAAGTTTTACATGAGAAATAGGAAATAGAGAGGTGCTCCAAAGACAAAAATAGCATGGCCAGAGTCTGTAGGATGCTCATGGTGGAATTGTACAAAAGATTTCCTGTGTTTGAGCTCTGGAAACAATTAGATAGAACATTTGTGGCTTTATCCTAGTTTTTATTTTTGAGTACCTAATGAACACATTTTTCTCTTACCCTCCTCCAGCCACTAGCTCAGCTCAGGAGCTGTCTCTTGTCTCTACAACTCAAACCATGCATAGAATATGGCACCATGAGCCTGATGTTGCTGGTTCTGGTGAAAAGACTGCAAGGTACAAAAGCCAAGAGTAGCCTTCAGTGTCTGCCCCCCCTAAGGCCAGCTTGGCAATGGGAGGATGATTTGGATGCTAAAGTCTGAACAGTGGTCCACAAGACACAAAAGACCTCCAAGGGCTAGAGCAGAATTGTACTGGTACTAGTTTCATGTGAAGCTCATCTCTGGGTACCACAAGGTTGTAGTGTAAGATGATCTTTGCAAGGGGTAGGAGCTGATGGAAACTTCCATCCTGTTCATACAAAAATGGAGGAGAGGATCTGGATGTAGTGGCATATCATTTACGATATATTAAAGCTTGCCTGAGGATTCAGAAAGCAAAGTCAGCCACAGTCATAGAAGCCAGGCACACACCTTTAATCCTAGCAACCAGAAGCTAGGAGGTGGTGGTACACACTTTTAATCCTAGGATTTAGGATTAAGAGATAGGTGGATCTTTGTGAGTCCGAGGGCACCCAGATCTACCTGAGATTGAATCAGTCTAAAAGAGTAACAGATCACACGCCTTTAATCCCAGCACTAGAAGGGTATAAAAGTTAGAAGCATGGCCTTCAGTAGTCCCTAGGAGGCATTGATTCTCCAGCGACACTCAAGATAAGAAGACTTAGTATCAAGGTGGATAGGAAGACATTGAAATCTCAGGATTCTCCAGACACACTGAGAAGAGGCAACAGTATCAGGCTTGGTGAAAAGCTCATGTGTGGATCAGCCCTTTCAGCCTGAGCTTGAAGTAAGAGCTAGTGGCCAGGTACTTTGTTTTTTTTTGTTCTTCAGTTTCAAGTTTGAACCCCAATATCAGTCTCTGGGTTACTTATTTATTGTGCAACAGTCTGGAGAGAAGGCTTAGCAGTCAAGAGCACTTCTTGAATCCAGATGGTTGTGCTGGCCCCATGGACACTGCATTCATGGTGTTCACAGACAGACAGACATGCAGTGCAAAACTTCCATACAAACAAAAATAAAAATAAATCAATCTTTAGAAATAAATGGAGGTAAACCCATATGCAAAACCATATCAAATCCGGAGCCACCATGTACGTGCCCACAAACACATACAAAGAAATCTCACTAAGCTGTAAGAGCCGAAAATAAAATTTCCTGCAAACTTTGCCTTCACTCTCAGGATCCTTTCTCTTTCTTTTGACTTCCTTGCATCTACAGCATCAACCCACTAGTGTGTTAGGTCACTACGAGTACTCCCTTCATCATTGTATCGTTATCTGTGTCCTAGGAACACCATCTTAATAGGGAAGAGGTTTCACATTTTATTCTCTAACGATACAGTTTTGTGACCATTTAAGGCAAATCCTTTAACCATTCTGAACATCAATTCCCACATCTGTAAGACCAATGACTACTCAAGTATTTCCCAAGCTTGCTGAGTAAAGCAATTATAGAAACACACACATAAACACAATAATGTAGAAAGGTTATTTTATCAGGCGGCTTGCCATACTTCAGAAAGCTCTGCTGCTGAGAACGGGGTGCTCCTTTATGGAGCTCCAAGGTATAATAATCTCATTGCAGAACAGCCCTGCAGAGGTGCACTAGGTATAGGGTAGCCTGGGATCATAAGAATGGCAGAGATGGAGAAGAATCTCTTCCATGGGGGGAGAGAGAGAAAGAGAGAGAGAGAGAGAGAGAGAGAGAGAGAGAGAGAGAGAGAGAGAGAGGAGAATGTGTGTGTGAAAAAGAGAGAGAGGAGAGGGTTATGAGTGTGAGAAAAGGAAAGAGGAGTGGGAGGGAGAGGAGAGAGAGAGAGAACAAAAGTGAGGAACTGAGCTAGGGACTGAAGGACAGGGTGGTCAAAGTGACATCAACTGCTAACTGGAGATTGAGATTTGGTTCCACTTCAAGGTGAAGACAAGGTACCTGAGACTCTGTGATGGCCCCAAGAGCCCCATGAAATCAAATGACCTTTCTTGTAGTAACCATGCACGTTAGTCCATCTGCAATAGAAGAAACAACATGAAGAAAGGTTTGTGTGGCTTGTAGTCTTGGAGGCAGAAGGTCTGAGATGTTATGGCACTTGCTGCTCTATCTCTGGTAAGAACTGTCTGGTGGTAATTGTCACACATGACGGAACAGCACGGAAGGAGATGGGTGCTGGAAAAGGAGGCAAGTGTATGGGTTGCAATGGACTCTGTTGAAAGCTATCCCACCCTGAATTGAATCCTTTCTAGGGTGGGGTCCACAGTGACTTGATTATCTTTCAGGACCTGCAGTGAACTGACCATCTTCAATGGCCTCTGAGAACTGGCCAACTCCTGTGACCCCAGTGAGGAGACCATTTTCCGTGGACCAAGTGAACTTATCATCTTCTATGATGCTCAGTGACCTAATTGCTTTCTGTTGAATCCTCCTCCATTTTTAATGGTTTTATTTATTAATAAGGATAGCTGATATATATAATGTATTTTGATCATATTCACCCTGTTACCCTCTCTTTTCTCCTTCCCACTCTTCCTGGTCCTCTGCCTCTTCCCAACCAGTTCTCCATTGCTTTTATGGCTTTTTCCTTTCATCACAGTTACTTACAGGGGCATGGGCACCTTACCAGAGGCTATACCACCCAAGGAAATTTTCCTTTCCCCAGTAGCCATTACCTGACTCTAGACCTTCAGGGAGTGGTGGCACCACATGAGCCCTTCCTCCCTTACTGTCTATAAACCCTCTATGGAGGGGGGCATCCCCATGACCTCCTTGTCTACTCTAATAGGATATCACTGGGTCCAATCTTGTCCTGGTCCTGTGTAAGGAACAAAGAAGCTGTGAGTCCTGAGAGCCATAGCCACCTCATGCCCCGAAGACTATTCGTAGTGTTCCACCCCACTTCCAGTCCTTACATTCTTTCTGTCCTCTCGTTTGTGATGTTCCTGAGCCTTGGGGGAAGGGGGTATAGAAGTTTCCTTTATGGCTGAGCTTCCACAGGAACCTTTTCTCAGCACATTACCAATTAAGAGTCTGTAATTATGGTTGATCAGACCCACCTCTTAAGACTCTACAATCTTTTAGCCTTCCACACTGGAGACCAAGCCCCTGGCATGTGAACTCTTGGCAAACAGACCACATCCAAACCTAGGAGAGCAAAACACCAAAGTAAACGAATGAAAGAAACAAAAACTGCATATTTGTATATCAAAGTTTAAGTGTAGATTTTTATGTTTTTCTTCCAAACTTTCTGCAGTTTGTGTATTTACTTATATAATTATAAAGATAAATTTAAAGAATAATTTTCGATGGGAATAATCCAATAACCCCAAAGAGGCATGATAATATAATCATAGCACTTTGGAAATCATCTAAAAAGACAGAATAAGGATTGATAAGATCTGAGGACCTGAGCTCAGATCCTCATCATCCATGTGACAGTCATGTGCAATAGCGTGTGCTGTAAACTTAGTGCTGGGGGCATCCATGTGACAGTCATGTGCATCAGTGTGTACTGTATTAGTGCTGGGAGCATCCATGTAGCAGTGATATTGCAACGGCGTGTGATTTAGGCAGAAGTTTCTGTCCCTTCTGATCCCATCAGCCTTCAGCTCCAAATAAACACACAAAGACTTACATTAATTTATAAGCTGTTTGCATGATGGCTTAGGCTTCTTACTGGCTAGCTCTCTCTTAATTATTAGGCCATTTCTATTAATATAAGCTTTTCCACATGGTCTTATCTTACTGGAGAAAGGTCTGGACCTGTACTCAGTTACATGGCATCTCACTGGCGCTTCTCTCTGCATCCTCTCCCCAGAATTCTTCTTGTCCGGTAGCCCCGCCTATACTTCCTGCCTAGCTACTGGCCAATCAGTGTTTTATTCATCAACCAATAAGAGAAACATATATACAGAAGGACATCCCCCGTCGTCTCCTCTTTTCTGTCTAAGTAAAAAGGAAGGTTTTAACTATAACATAATATTATGTATAACAAAACAGTTACCAAGTAAGGACTATTGTTACCAATATCTAGTCCACGAATATTTGGCAAAATTTAAAGAAAATATTCTATCATCTATCTTATCTTTGTGAGTCTACAGCTTTATGTGTAACTTATCTGTTATCATAACTAAGGAAAACAATAGCCATAACTATCTGTCTTCAACTCCATCAAAGACCACAGAAGGATAATATATAAACTCTAGAATTGACAGAGACATCTCACTGCCTAGACAGTCACCCAAAGATCTTCTGTAACATTGAGACATCCATCTTCAGCCTATAGGTTCAGAATGTCTGGCAGACTTCTTAGTGAAGCAGGAAATTTAAAACTGTCCCGCCTGTATTGGCAGTTTGTCAGTCATTTTTATGTGTCCTGCTGAATGTCTGGCAGACTCTTCCATGAAGCAGGAACCCCAAAGTACTGTCCCATCTTGTTTTGTCAAGTTCAGCAGTCACTTCCCCGTGGGTCCTGCATGTCCACTTTATATAGCATACAGTCAAACAGTCCATGCCAGAGAAGTTTCTTGCCCAAATGTCTAGTCTTGCTATATCAAAAGCAATTCCCATAGAGAGATGCCCATCTTCCTTTCTGATGTAATTGGTGTTGCCAGGAGCAGTTGTGTCTCATTGTCAAGAAAAACCCTAATAAACAATTTTAAATGCCATTTTTGTATGTCTTTAAAGGTTTGAACAACATCCATCTCAAATATATCTCTGTATATCTAGAAAACCTAACTAATATAACGATAAGTTTTAGGTGAATATATATTTCAGTGTTCCCTGGGACTATTCTGGCTACCAGATGAGGAGAAGGCTGGGATGTGGACACAGATAGAAGCTGTAAGAGAGAGACACCGTGTAAGCTGAATGAATAGAATGCTGGAACCTTCTCTGGTAAAAGAAGGCTGTGTAGAAATACAAAGATTAGTAGTTATGGGTTAATAATTAAGAGAGAGCTAGCCAGTAAGGAGCCTAAGCCATCGGCCAAACAGGGTGTCAGGACCAGTCAGAACAGGAACTTTCATCTACAGTATGCTGTAAACTTAGTGCTGGGAGCATCCCTGTGATATTCATGTGCATCGCCATGTACTGTGAACTTTAGGCATGGCATAGGCATGGTGATGGTGTAAAAACAGGGCTCCCTAAACTTACTGGCTAGTCAGTCTAGCCAAAATGATTTAGTGAGAGACCCTTGCACAAGTAACACCCTCTTAGCCATGCTTATGCAAGTAACGCTAATTAAATGCATGAAAGAAGGAAGAAAAAAGGAAGGAGGAAAGAAAGGAAGAGTGAAAAAAAGAAAGAAAGAAAAAAAGGAAGGAAGGAAGAAAGAAAGAGAAAGAAGAAAAAAGGAAAGGAAAGAAGGGAAGAAAAAAATAAAAGTGGGAGTTGTTGGATATGGAAGTAGAATAAGGGAGAAAAGGAGGATAATGAGAGTATGATCAAAGTGTATGTATACATATATATAGTTATATATTTCTAAAGTAATTACACACATATAATTGTGAAAAATAATGAGGTAACAACAAAATTAGATGGAGCATGATCAAGGTGGACACTTGGTCTGTGTGTATGCACCCCACCCCACCCACACACACACACATGACAATGTCTGAAGAATGACACCCACACCTGACATTGATCTCTGGCCTCCACGTGCACACATGTGAACACACACGTAAGAAAATAAAATAAGGACCATGAAGACTTCCCAGTTCGGGATTATTCTTAGCCACAATTTTCCCCAATCTTAGCTCTAACCAAGCTTCCTAAACAGGTATTCCATTCATGGTCTCCTCCAGACATGTGGGGTCTCATTTGTGACTTTATTTCTTGTTTACTGCTAGAGCCTGAGAATTGATTTCCCTGCATATACTCTTAGGAACTCTACCCCGAACATAATTTTGATTATTTAACTCTCACATGTATGTAAAACTTGGAGTGACTTTATTTATTAATACTAGGATATAATACAATTTCCAATACCCTTTCATTAATTCTTTTTCTTTCTTTTCTTTTTTGAGACAGAATTTTATGTACCCAGGCTGACCTTGAACTCATCATCTAGCTGAGGGTGACCATGAATTGCCTCCACTGCCCAGGCTGTGGGATTCTAAGCAGGCAGCATTTTTACTGAGATGTAAGGTGCCTCCGTGTCACCATCTGCACTTCTAATTTGGCTGGGTACTATGGTCACCTCTCCTCCACAGTTCTGCTCAGAGGTGCATCTACATAACCCTTTCTCTCTTTTCTTCCCCATTTCTCTTACCAGTTTTACTTCCTACAACAGCAGAAGCAACAACAAGAATTGACTTGAGGATGCAGAGCACCTGGTAAAGGTGTCCAAGCTCCCTTCCTTTCTTCTTTCTTTCCTACCTTCCTTTCATCTCTCTTCATTTCTCCATCTTTCTTCCTCTGCTCTTCCCCTTCCCTCCACTCCCCTCCCCTCCCCTTCCTCTCCCCTCGTCTCTCCTCTTTTGAGGCAGGCTTTCACCACCCACTTAGAATAGTCGTGAGTTCATGATCCTTTTGCCTTAGCCTCCAGAGCTGAGATCACTGGTATGTGTCCCCACATCCAGAATTTGCTCCAGTGCCATTTCCCAGACCTTACCTGTAGTTTTAATGACACTCCAAAGGTACAGAATTGTGTCCATGTATGTAGAAGTAAGGGATGCTTCGTGTTATTCATGTCTCTCTGACTTTGAGTATTGCTTTTTCTTTCAGATCCTATTTATCAGGCAAAGATGGAAACAACTGCAATTGGCTAAGCACACTCCCAACTCTCACTAAATGGCACAAGGCCCCCAGTGTCACCTCATCATATGCCCCATCCCCCTAGATGTTTCTCATGACTATCTCTTGAGTGTCATTTCAAGTGCCAGTGCCAGCTGCTGAACAGAGGCCTCCTCCCCACTCCTCCGTCTGTGTTCAGGGCTTCCTAGTACAAGGGTTGATTTTGAGGGGGCCTAATCAGCAACCTTCACACCAAAGCAGAGTTGAAAGACCTTGCCAGTGGTCATGCTGCCACCACTAGAGATCTCACCTCACCCCAGAGGGTAGCCTGGAGAAGAAGCTATGGTCCCTTTCTGGAACTCACTGTATCATTTTCCTCTGTGCTTCTCAGCCTCTTCTTTTATGATATTGTCTGAGTCAGTAGAACAAAAGGACACCATTCCTTTTTTCTGCTTGGTGCTCTCCCAGAATCTTTGCAAGGTAGCATGGAAAGAAGGGGTAAGGCAGAAAGAAAACATTCTGGAGACGCTGTTAACATATGACAAATGCCCTTTGACGCAGTAGCATAGATAAAATTCTGCTCTCTATTTCTTTATTGACTGTAAGTGTTTCCAAATGTCATTACTTAGTCTTTTAAACTGGACTTTTCAGTACTTGTCTGATAATATATCAACAGGGCACAGGACTGTGTTCCTTTGTGGTGGGAACCATTATGGCTAGGAATAATGGGCTGGTCTCCTGGGGGAGGGAAGATGCACTCTGAATCAAAGGCGGCTTTAGTATTTTTGGCAGCCTCCTTTTTTTGTTTAAGACAGATTCTCATGTAGTCCGGGCTAGCTTTAAAGCCCATGGGCTATCTGAGGCTAACCTGGAATTGATGATCTTCCCACCCCCACTCCCTTGGTGCTGGGATCATGGGTCTTCCGCACCACACCCAGTTCATTTGGTGCCGGGGATTGAACCCAGGACCTCATGCAGGCTAGGCAAACACTCTTTCAATGGAGTACCAGCAGCTTCTTTCCATTGCTGTTAGGAATAAGACTTTAGAAATATGACATAAATTAGACACATCTGTGTATGTGTGAGAGCGTATACATGTATGCAGGCTCACATGCCTGCTCATGCACCCATGGAGGCCAGAAGTCACTGTTGGCTGACTTATGTCTTACTAATTTTTGAGACAGGGCCTCTTATGAGAACTGAAGCTGACTGTTTCAGCTAGTATAGCTGCTTAACAAGGCCCCTAAAATCTGTCTGTCTCCGTTCCTGTATTGGGGTCACAGATGTGTGCCACCATTCCAGGCTTTTTCATGAGTTTGGGGGAGCCTCATGTTTGCACAGGAAGCACTTTACTCAGTGAGCCGTCTCTCCAAGTCAAATCAGATCCATTTATTGATTCTGTTGACATG